CTAAAAAAAAAAAAAAAAAAATTCCCCTATCCCCAGCCTGACTTATTTGGCATCTGCCAGTGGTGAGTGAGGTGGGGTATGAAGATGTTTGTCTCAGAATTCAACATGCTTCAGAACTCTGTGTGATGGGCTCATTCAAATATGGTTGCTAAGTCTAGAGTTTAATTCTGTTTGCTGAGGTGGGGCTCAGAAATGTGGATGCCCTCCTGTAATTCAGCTACCCAGGAGACAGGCAGATTTGGAAGTTCAAGACTGCCTGGGTCACAGTACCTTCATGGCCAGCCTATAAGTTGGGGAGAGGTCTGAGGAGATAGTAAAGTGCTTGTCACACAAGCACAACACCCAGCACCCACATGAAAAGCCCAGAGTGGTGACGTGCTTCTAATCCCAGTGCTGAGGTGGTAGAGACAGGTGGGTCCTGGGCTGCTGACAGCCACCCTGGCCTAAACAGGGTCTGTCTTAGAGACTCCTGAGAATTGATGCCCAAAGTTGGCTTGTGACTTCACATCCAGTGCATTCATACGAAAATGTGTACACAAAATGTAGAAGGACCAATGATACAGCTCAGTGGTAAGGTGCTTGCTTAGCACGTTCAAGGCACTGCCTCAAAACAAGTTTAAAAGGCTGAAGCCAAGTGTAGTGGAGCACACCTGTAATCCCAACACTTGTGAAATGGAAGCAGGAGGATCGGGAGTTCAAGGTCATCCTTAGCTACAGAGCTAGTTGCAGTCCAGCCTATCCTATATGAGACCCTGTCAAAAATAAAAGGGTGGCCAGGCGTGGTGGCGCATGCCTGTAGCACTTGGGAGGTAGAGGCAGGTGGATCTCTGTGAGTTCAAGGCCAGCCTGGTCTACATAGTTCCAGGACAGCTGGGGCTACAGGGAGACCCTGTCTCAAAAAAAAAAAAAAAAAAAAAAGGGTGGTAGTGGAGTAGTGGTGTCTGGGGATTTAGCTCAGGAGTAGGGTGCTTAACTAGCATGTGAGGCTCTGGACTCACACCGCCCTGCTGAAGAGAAAAAACGCACTTCAAATAAGTTCCCAGGTGGTGATTATGGTGCTGATTCAAGAACATATGTTCTAGACAAACCTTTTGTGAGTGGTTCTTAAGAGTAGCTGCAGATTGGAATTATCTCAGGAAAAATGTCACCTGGTTCTCAACTCTAGTGGTAGAGCTTCTTGGTTTAGTGTGAGCCTGGGTATCTGGAATTTTTTTTCCCCCACCTCCTCAGGTAATTCCAGAGTGCAGCCACGCCTGAGAACCATCACTGCATTCTTGGGGTCTGGCAGCTTGTTGGAAAAGCAGAATCTGGGACCACCCAGATCAGAATGCACATTTTATTTTGTTTTGTTTGAGACAGGGTCTCCCTGTAGCCTCAGCTGGCCTGGAACTTGCTATGTAGACAGGCTGGCCTCCATCTCATAGAGATCCGCCTGCCTCTGCCTCCTGAATGCTGGGATTAAAGGCGTGTGCCACGACGCCGGCTCAGGGTCTGTAGTTTAACAACGCCCCAAGGAAATCTTGAGAAGTACAGAAGGTTCAGGGACTGGAAGAGCAAAGCTGTGGGTGAATAACAAAGGCCAGACAGCATGGGGCTCCACAGACATCTGGACGAACACAGGTGCCAGGCTTCTCCTTAGGTCTATGGGTTCTAAGAACACACTTCTTTTTTTCTTTTGGCAAGCGTCCCTTCTCTTGTTTCACGCGATTCTGATTGGGGTGGGGGGATTGTGTGCAGTACATATTCAAGTTCTTTTCAACTTGGATTTCTTACTTTCCTCCGCCTAGACAGGCAGGGATAGATTTGGCCTCCGAGTTCATGAGAACGTGGTCCCCAAGATATTTTCAATACATGCCAGTCCTCGCACTATTCATCGAACAGTTCAGCAAAAGGCTACGGGGTGCTTTATGCATCCTAAACACAGAATGCGGGGAGACCCAAGTAAGCGTAAGAATGACGGAAGGTGAGCAGAAATAAACAAACGGGGCTCACCTGAGCTTTCTGCAGGGGAGGTGAGGGAAGGTTTCTCCCCGAGAAGAGAAGCCATAGCAGGTCTCTAAGTAGGCGTTACAGATGCAGCCGAGGCTGGGAAAAGCGCGCTTTTCCTGCAGCTCCTGCGGCTAGAATCCTAGCAACAAGAAAGAATCGGAGGCGGAGGAGCGTCCCGGCGCCTAGCACAGCTCGGTGCTGACGCTGTCGCTGGTTCCTCGTTCCCTCTTTATTCGGCAAACATTGAGTTTTAGAGATTTGCCAAATAGGGTCACCTGGAGAAAGACGCTGCGGATGGGGAACTGGCCGAACCGGCCAGCGGAGGGATGCTCCCAAGATCCACACCTGTCGGCTACACTCGCTACCAACAGCTACGCTATTGGCCTGACTGAGATGAGTAGCAGCCTGCCCAGGGAGAGGGGCGGGTCTCCTTGCCTAGCTCCGCCCTTCTGGATTGGGGGATGCTTTGATTGGCAGATGACTTCAGCTCGGCCCCCGCCTTGAAGGCACCTGTCTGTCTCTCATTAGATACTCCACCTTTAACGCCCACTCTGCATGCCTTCCCCCGTCTTCCCCACCCACTTCCAGCACCAACCAATGAGTTCAGGGCAGAAGAGAGCCCTGCAACCAATGACAACTGCCTGCAAACTTGACGGACGACTTCCCGCCCCTGCTCCGCCTGGCTCCTCCCCGCGACCAATTGCTTTAGCTGAGGGGGGCGGGCCCACCCAATCAGCGTCGCGCAGGCCTCCTGAATGACAGCCAGGCCCTCGCGCTGGCGTGTTGTGCCCTGAGGCGGGGAGGAGGAGGCGGAGCCAGGGAAGGAAACCCCGAGCCAATCCTTGCAAGTTGCGCGGGAGGCCAATCGAACGCCGCGCCCTGCGGCCATCCGCCAATCGGAGCGAGGGGGCCGGCCACATCCGCGCCTGGAGCCAATGGGACACGTCCGACGGCGCAGAGCGACATGCGGCAGGAGCAATGACGGACCTATCTTCGGGGCTCGGGGGCGGGTCGGCGCCAGAGACGAGGAGAGAGGAGGGAGGCCTCCTCCGCCGCCGCCATCTTGGACCGGGCCCGGTCAGCTTCCGCGGAGCCGTCGGCAGACGCCGCCCGGCCTTCCCTTGAGCCTCAAATCCCCTTCTCGGTGGTCTAGAACAGCCCCGGGCCCACTTCCTCTTATCAACAACCCAACCCCACTTCCGCTTTCGCGCCCGCTTATCGCGATAGCGCCCGGACTCGGGGCGCGAGGGAAGAGGAGGAAAAAAAAAAAAAAAAAAAAAAAAAAAAGGCAGCGGGCGAGCGCTCGCCTCTCGTCCCCCTCCTCGCCTGTCGCGATACGCTCCTCAGCGGCGGTGCCAGCTCCTGTGGTGAGAGCGTCTGGCTCGATGGGCCCGACCCCTTCCCCTCTTCCCCCGGCCGACGGCCGCCTTCCCGCTCGGCGACCCCGCAGTCTGTAGCGACTCGGTCTCGGGGCCCGCCGGGCCCTGCCCTGCCCCGGCCGCGCGCTGGGTTCCGCTCGGGCGGGGACCCTCTTCTCCACTCCGGGGTCCCCCCGCGTCGCCACTCCCGCGTGGCATGCGCCGGTCCCGGGTGCGAGATGCCCGCCCTCCTCTGCGTCGGACCGGGCTTGGAGAGGCGGGCGCGCAGCGGGGCCGGGGCTGCTGGGGGTCCTGCTGCTGCGGGTGCGGGGAACCAGTGCAGTAGTTCGCTCCCCGGGGCTCCCTCCCTCTCTGTGCACCAGAAGCTCCGACTTGTTGGTGTCCTGATAAGGGAGGGGGCGCCTTTGGCGATGGATTGGGAGGAGGATAAAGTCCCCAAGACCCGAGGGTGCTGCTCCCGTTATGAGTTGGCGCCTAAGCCAAAGTTTCCCCTTGTCCCCTTGCAGTGAAAACTAGGTGTCCCATCCCACTAGTTTTTTAAGGGAGCGTGGCTTCCACCCCCACCCCCCAAATCCTTGTC